TTTTTTTATAACCTTTGTTGTGAATTAAAACTTCTCCAGAAAGAACATTTCTCAAGCTTTTTGTGTTTGCTATTAGGTGTTGGGATGCACTTTGGAGAATTGCTTGAAGAAGTTTCTTGGCGCAGAGAAAGTAGAAAACTACTTCTGCTATAGATGCTGGCATGTTGCTGCAGTTAAATTTTTATCTATAATAAGATCAGCTGAGGTAAATTAATCTCTCAGGTTTAATCGTTTTTGTACCTTTGCACATGCTTCAGGACTTTATCTGACCCTTCTTTACTCATCAGTCAGATATCGAAAAGGTCAAGAGCTGTGGTGGAGAAGACCAATGCGACTGTAAAGCTTCTCCTTATCTTCAGAGAATGCCATGGTCAAATAGCTATTCCTTTATATTGAAGCAATTAACCATCGCCCGTTTCCCAAAGGTATTTACTTACTGAAACTAGACTCTAAAACAAAGTATGAAGCCTGAGAGTGTTGAATTGTTACAGCTTCTATGCATTCAAGTGCAACGAGCTTCATTGAACATGTATGGAGAATCGGTCAAGCTATCGGTAGAGACTCTTTGCCTCTTTACATACGTCCTATTTACTACTACTAGTTGAGTTCTAATCTGAGTTTATGAATATAGGGACATATCGCTTTCCCGCTTGTCTTGGACCTCTCCTTATTTTCACCGTCTTCGATAGGATTAAACATAGAAAAGAATGAGATGTCACAGTACTTAAATCCAGAAGCATCATCAAGAAACCGTGATGGCATGTATAGGCTTGTGACAGTGGTGGAACATTTTGGTATGACCGGAAGCGGGCACTATACTGTTTATAGAAGTGTGAGAGTATCATCACAAGAAGAGGAAGAAGAAGAAGATTGTGAGGAATTGAGGTGGTTTAGTATATCTGATTCAGAAGTTGGCAGAGTATCGGAGAGTGATGTTCTTGGTGCAGAAGCTAGCTTGCTCTTCTATGAGAAGCTATAATCAAGAAAGCAGTTTTGGTCATTCATTTGGATTTTGAGTATTGATTCTTGTGTTTCAAGTTTATTTTATTTTATTTGTGAACTTGACATAGTAGAATATTATACAACTAGGGGATTATTTTTCTTTCCATGGAACATGAGTTTGAAAGAATAAAATAAAAGAAAGTTGAGTTTAAATCTAATAGTTCTATTAACTTATCAGAACTATTAGATTTATTTAAAAACTTACAAGTTATATCAAACTAGAACCCTTTTATTTTAACTAAATTATTTATTATATAAGAAGATTTAATAGATATATATATATATATATATAACTTATAATTATATTAAACAGAACTATTAATAAAAAATTTAAATATAAAACAAAATATTGGATTATTTAGATTTAAAATAAACTATGTAATAGTTTATGAATTTATAATTTATTTTTAAATAAATCTTTTTATAATTTGTGAATATTTTCTTTCAAATACTTCTTAAGTGATGTACCTTCAAAAAAAACTTCCTTTTTATGCTCTCCTTCAAAATAAGAGATCACTGAAGATTATCTTATTGAATTGGTCAATCTGATGTTGTTTTAGTTACTGTATGTGTTGTTGATAAAGGAATGATTAAATCATTGGTGGGTGAACATGTTTTCAACTAACTTGTATATATTGATTTTGATGTAGCCAAACACTCCACTAATGTCTTAACATTGAATTTTAAATTGAATTTTGTTATTATTGAAACCATATATTCTTTTATGTTTCTTCGTCAGTTGATATAATCTTAGTTAAGTTTCAAAATCATTAGAGTTTATGTACCACTTTTGATAACATGTATTTTGTGTCCAAATCAATCAATTGTCACTGCTTCAATATCTTAAATGATTATACCAACATTAGCATGTATAACTAAGTGACTAATATTGGTGTATCTTTTGTGCATAACTCATTTATGGATTGAAGTTTTCACTCTTATATAATACTATAGAAATGTTTTGCTACAAGATGAAATTGCAGAATATTATTACCTCACAGTACCTCTGTTTTTTTTTTGTTGATCATCGTCACATGAGATCTCTAGAGGGATTAGTTTTAAATGGCGAGCGCCATGACTACCGAGTGACAACCTCTAAAATGCCTCACTACCTCATTGCCAAGTGATCCATGGGTTTCATAGAGTTGGATCCAAGTTTAGCTATGGAAAGGAGGCTAATTCGTGTAGCCAACAGATGAGGCAAACTCATCATTGGGGATAAAAGTGTCGCCAAAACTATCAAGAACAACATGCTTCCTTTGACTTTGCTTATTGTGGCTAATGATGGGAATTGTAAGAATTATGTTACATGGACAACTGACTTCAGTGTTCCAATCGTTGTGGTGGCTTCAAGACTCAAGGTTGGTGAGCTTTACAAGTCCAGACTGTTGTCTACTCTGTTCACTCAGGGTCATTTGGCTATGTTTGGAGCGCTTGTTCATCTAAGATGATCAGGAACATGAACTTTTAATATTGAAGACTCTTTGTTATGTTGAATGTCTGAACTCCCATGTACTCGCTGCTATTTGTTTTTTCTTCTATTGTTGAATGTCTGGAAAAAAAATTTACAATGCCTTCGATGAACATAACAAACCTCTCACTTATTGTAATTTGCATAATAAATCTGCATTTGAAAAGATTGCTTCTTGAAAGACTGAAGATTAAAAAGTGTTAGTCATTATAAATAGAAGATGAAGCAGTTTAGATAACATAAAATACACAATTATGATTCCTTCCCAATTTAGCTTCATTTGAACATATGTTTGCATCCTCTTTTAGAGTGAAAAAGAGACCAAATCCTTATTACTTATACATTTTTATCACAAAGAAACATTACTATTGAATCTGACACGACATACGAGTTATTGAAACTGAAAATCAAACAAGAAAAAATAAAATAAAATCAGGACAACCAAGATAGATCATTCTTTGATGAGGATAGGGCTGGGCATTTTATTCGTTAAATTCGATTCGATTCGTTATTCGTTTCGATTCGATCCAAAAAATCCGAATATCCATAAATTTTCAAAGCAAATCAAATACTGAAATTCAATATCCATTACAATCGAAGCAAATCACAAATACTAAATTTTTGGGAAGCAGATATCCGATCCGATTCGGCAATATGTAAACACATGTATATCTTGATTATATTTAAAGTTTTAAATGTATAAAATGTTATAATTATCATTCTAACATATGATTTGACAAATTTTATTCACATTATTATTTATATAAAAGTATTACATAAACAAAGAGAAAAAAATTATGACAATTATATTTTTTTTCTTAAGTTTTGTGTTATTATAATTGTTATCTAAGTTTAAAAAAATTACAAAATATGTAGATTCGTTACTTCTTTTAATTTTTATCTTTTATATCATGCAAACAATATTTTACAAAATAAATTCGAATTAAATTTTAAGATTGTTTATCTTAATCCACACATATGAGATATATGTAAGTATACGTAAATATCCGTAAATATCTATTTATTTTTTGGATATCCGTTTTTCCGAATATTCATATTTTACCGAAGCAAAGCAAATCGAAAAATTAGGTATCCGTGACATATGAAGCAAATCACAAATATCTTCAAAAATCTATATATCTGATCCGTGCCCAGACCTAGATGAGGCCATGTGGCGGAGGTACGGTCTTCGGCAACTGCTTCTATGGAGGGTTAATCGGCTCAAACTAAGTCGAGATCCTTTCTTGAGACACATATGTTTATGCTTGTTCTGGGTCTGTCATCTGTGAACACTTGCGGGTAGATAGCTCAATAAAAATGTATCAACTTCATGTATTGATCTACTATCTTTAGAAAGACTAGTAAACTTTTTATATATATGACGTCTTTTCTTTCTTTCTTTATAAAGCAACAGTGAAAAATATACAAATCTATAATTGACTAGAAGCATAATTTTACAAGTATCATCGTTCCACATATAATAAAATATATATATTTTAACAGTTAATTCATATGTTTTGTAGTAACAAAAAAAAGTTGATTTTAAAAGAAAAATATATAGAAACATAAATAGTTTCCTTTCACAATTTGTTCTTTCTCTGTAGTAGTTCTTGCCTCATCACTGGATTGACATCGACAACGTGAAGCATTAGTGTTATTAAACTTGAAATCATATCTAACAAACATATACATATCTTTCTTTTAGAAATTGTAATAAGAAAAGTGTACCCCTAAATGTAAAACTTTAGTGGCTAATATTAGGTTAGGTGAAGAAAACAATTATACATATATAATGGAAAAGAACATAGTTAGATTCATCCCCTATTGTGAATATTTAAAATTAACCTCACATGGACGTGGGAAACTTCTGAAAAACTGTTACTTTCTCTATTTTATTTTAGTTTTATAATGTAAAATGTTATGTATAAATTCACAAATTATTATTATTATTATTGTCAACAAAAAATCACAAAGATTAAAAGACCTATTTTCTATTAAAAGTATTATAAAAATATATTAAAATGATTTAACCAATTTTAAAAAATTATAAATAGTTGAATAATTTTTCAATAAAATTAAAATTAACCTAAAAATCGTAGAATAACTTACATTCTAAAACACTAAAAAGTGAAAACCTTATAAAACATCATAAATTATGAAACAGAAAATAATTTTCTATGTAGTTTTAATTTAGGATAACATATATCTACGAGATTTTATTATCTCCATTTGGTTCCTTATATAAAGAGGAATTGTGTGTAATCCATATATATCAAAAATTACAAGTAAATTGTAAAAGAAAGGAACAAAGATGAATGCAATATTCCTCTTTTCCTTTATAGTGAGGTCTTATGAAACATTCCTGTAAGTAAAATAAAAACGCAATTAAGTTATGTGTAATAAAGATATGTAAATGACCAAACGGTGTTACTAGAAATGCAAGCAAGTTCTCAAGGTTTTTGAGACCGTTTTCTTTCGGTATTTATTGATTTGCTTTACTTTACCTGTGGATTCACTGTAATGAGCTTCAATGCTTTTGAAGCCTTATTTTCTCTTCTGAAGGTTCCACTTCCTGCAGATCTTTTACCGCAGAACCAAAGCTTACGCTGTCTCCGTTTGAAAACTTTCGGGACGACAAAGATAAGCCAAAATCAAATGGTCCTCGTGAGTCAGCCTGCATTTAAGAAAATCAGAAAATCCTTTACTCCGGAATCCCAACTGTAGTTTTAACCTAACATGATTGATTAATGCGAGTCTTCCATTATAGTATTTAATTATATAGCAAACAGAACATGCGTAATGTAGATAAAAATCTCACTTACCCACTTGATTCCTGAAAATCCAAGGCTGCTGTCCTGATTAAACACCCCTGAACCAAACCCTTTTGCAGGTTTCGATTCAACGTTCTGTTGCTCTGCCTCAGTTTCTTCACTTACCTGCCAGAAAACTCAGATCCGGTAAACAAGAGTTTGCAAGTTGTAAACTAATTAGATATGCATACTGAAGATTAAAAAATATTAACACTGCATGACATCATTGACATGGGACACGCTTAACCTGCTCAAGAACCTTGGCTGAGGTTGTAGTACGCTTTCGGAATGAAAATGCATGGCATGTGTCTTCTGCGTCGAGTATAGAAGAATGTGACAGCTCGGGAGGAGGAGGTGCATGACGTGGAGCTTTAGGCTGACCTGTTGTTTGGTTCACGAAGAAAGCATCTAATGAATCAGAGATTAGAGGTAATGGTTGTTGTGAGGTAGTTCCCCTTGCATCCCATGTTTTGTTACCGTCACTAAACCTCCCTTCTCCTCGTGATGCTTCAGAAAGAAAGGCTCCAATGCTAAAACTTGGCTGATTACTGTTATTATTATGAGTTGATTCTTCTTTACCGCGTCTCCCTTGTAAAGATGCCTCGGAAAACAGACCTCCAATGCTTATGTTTGTAAGATTTTCGTCCCAGAGAGTTGGGGTCGCGTTTGGATTTTTAGAGTTGTTCCCGAATTTCCCCTTCAAAGATACTTCAGAAAGTAAGCCGCCAATACTTAAGCTTGTTAAACCATCATCCCATTGAAAAAATGTTGGTCCAGATCCATTATTTATCTCCCTCTCCTGGTTAAGCAAAATTAGTCAAGACGTATACCATGATATAAGATTTGAGTCCCAAAACAAGAGAAAAACAAAAATACTTTTACTAAGCATACCGCTGCTAACTCGACTTGTCCATCAGGTGGAGTGTGTTCAGAGAGAGGCCGGTCAGTCACTTGATTTAGGTTATCTAAACCGAACATCTGCTTTCCCGTCATACTGGCACTCTCTCTTCTGTTACTAATGAAGTTTTGAGGCTCTACATTCGGAAAACAAGTGATACCAGGAGTTGATGGAGACGGAGGTTCATCTGTTTTATTACAAGTCCCAGAGGACCATCCATACCTAAACGAAATAAACACTCGTAAGACGCGGCTTTGCTTATAAAAGTTGAGTTGAAAGCTATATACTGATGCAAACCTTAAGCGGAATAGGGATGGAGCTCCAATAGCTACATAGACATCCCTTATCGTAATGCTGCTGTTTGCTGTCCATTTAGGACCAGAAGGGAGTCTCGATTGATCATATGGGTACAAGGTGGGATCTCCCCGAGTGATCTCTGAGCTTCCCCACTTACTTTGAATGTGTTGAAGCACTGAAGAAACCTTCTTCCGTGAGCTAAGAGTGAGTTCCAAATACGGGTGAAAGCCATCCTTACAAAGTTTCAAAAAATAAACAAAGTTAGAAAAACATCCACCAAAATGAATACTTAGTCCATGTCTTATGGTCGACTTTACCTTTTCTAACCCTTCACGGGTATGAACATCCACAGGAAAGAGCTGCAACTTCATTTTCCCAGAAGGTCGTTCAACCGAATGGAGATCAAGGACAGGTACTTGTTGACCTCCTCCGTCTTTGGTATTTACACAGCTTCGAACTTGAAAGGATGGAGACTCGTCTGGAGAATCAGAAGAGGACTTCTTCTTCTCACTTTTACTATTATTCTTTCCTGCCAACAAATCCTTGATAAGAACACTAAAAAACAATACAAATCTGTCCTCCTTGGTAAGAATAATGTGAAAATTACCAGTGTCATGGACTTTCTTAGTACTTGTTTTCATGCATTTATTGGCTCTGGTAAATTTTCCTCTGCCTTTGATCTCCTTTGAGGATTCAGTTGGAGTCTCAGTCTTTTTTCTAGCCATTCTGCAAAAAAAACAATCAAAACTCAAGAGTCAAAACCTCCCCATTCACCATGCTATTCCACAGAGATTCATAAGGTAAGCTCCGACTATACAGATTCTTAAACCTAAACGCCTCGCAGATATAGATTCATCCACAACCAAACTAATCACAATCAAATCAATTCAAAATTGTTGAGCAACCCACAATTACAAATACAATCATCAATTGGTTCGTTCTTCAGAATGATTGGTAGCAAAACCTCCGATTACCCAGAATCTAAACCTAGAAATTCAAATCTCAACTTAATCACACTACCGAACGAAACTCCAGAAGTAATAAAATTCAAAATTAAAATTAACAACACACAGATATGGTCAAATAATTCGGAAGATTCTTTAAATAAAAAACGACCTCGTTCTAATCAGAAACCCTAGAAATCCAGAGCTAGATGATCAAACCGAACGAAATTCCTTAAACATGTTATAAATCAATTAGACATCACGAAATTAAAATTCGTAACAAGCTAAACCCGAAATATCTAGAACATTAGAATTACGGAAACATCTCAAATCAAGCAACAGATAAAACGATCGGTGGAGAAGAGTCAAAAAAAAACAAGCACGAATCGGGAATTAAAAGTCTCTGAGAGATCGACACAGTCACAAACCTCATCTGTTATCGACTTCGAAAACGCGAGAGAAGAGCTTGCTGAAAGAGAAGACAGATGGAGCTATCAGACGAAAACCTTCGAGAAGTGAGAGAGAGAGAGAGAGAGAGAGAGAGAGATCGGCGAAAATTCTCCGAGAGCAAAAAAGGTAAGGCGGGAATGAAAATGTTGAAAATATAATTCTCCCTCTCCCTCCCTTTGCTTTTTTTTTTTATATACTATCAAAACATTCTCTCCAGATTAGTTGAGGTCGGTTTGTTTATATGGGCCTAAATGTGTGGCCCATTATATAAATCTTAGTCCACCCACCGGCTCCTAATCTTAATTAACACATCAAGGGGTGACATGTTTTTTTATATTGTGAAAAAATGAAAGCAGATTGGTTGCTTCCAAAGACAATATAATTTGGTTGACACCTTAAATGCTGCTGCTTCACACTTTGACGTGCTAACAAGGAAGATATAGCAACCATACATACGTATGAGTTTCTTTCGCCATACTGTAAGCTTTTATTGCAAAACTATGTTATGTGATCTCTCTCTCTCTCTGGAATTGATTTTTTTGTCAAGTATCAATCCGACGTCATTTTCAAAAACCACATTCATAGCATCATAGTTAATTTGATTTCATTTCATCTATTATTCAATATGAATATAAAACAATTGGTTGCAATTCAATTCAAGATTTCAAATGATCAAATCAATAGATTTTTTTTTGTGTTCCGATATTTTTTTCATCATACGGATATCCACTATATATTTCTTGTTATTGGACTTTTAAATATGATGTACTAGCGCATATGTGAACAAACAGTAACACACATGTATTGTCATACGGTCCCATTAAAGTTATATGTAGCTTAGTACTATTTATGAATCTATGATAATAACGCCTGATATCTAACTGAAACTTACCATGAAAAGAAAAACAGCTCACATGAAAATCATCGAATAACGACAATGAGACTGAGATATTTTAACAGAGACAAGTTTTAATTAAAATAAAATAAAAATAAAAATAAATACGCATATATAGAAGTAGAAACTCACAAGAAAGTTTAGTGTGTGTGTTTGGATCTTTAACCAAACGGAACCTCTGTCTTTTGATTTTTGGGGTTGTCCCACTACACAGATTGTCCTTTTGTCGAATAGAAAATTGGTCACGCCTTTTTAGTTCCACACTTTTCGTTTCCATCATTCCTCTCTACTCCAACACTTTTCCACTTTTATTTATATACTTTCTCCATTTTTTTTTCGAGCAAACTTGTTTTTTATGTGATGAAAAATAACACATAGTTATTTTGCTATACATTGTAGACATGTGTAGATATTTTGCTATTGCATAAATTAAAATTTAACACCCAAAATACACCTCTTATATTTTGTTGTTAAATTATCAAAACAAATCTCTACATTTGAACTGATGTATATAGCTAAAGAAGAAAGCGAGGGAAATAAACAAATAAAATAAAAAATTTAAAAAGAGAAAAGATTCTACTCTCTGTCCTCTCTCTTAAATGTCAGGAGGGAGAGAGACTCTCATGTGAAGTCCTCCATAACTGAAAATTAAATAATTAATAAATAACTGAAGAGAGAAAATAATAAAATCACTCAAAGTTTCACAATAATATCTCCACCTCTCTCTAAAAATTCACGTTGATTTTGACTTAATCGTCTTCCTCCGTCTCCGACTCTCCGCGCCGCCGCCTCGGTAGCAACAGAAACCGCCGAGGTGTCCGTCGTCTTGGAAAGAGGCTCGTTTCTCTCCGTTACCTGGTAAAAACTTTATTCTTCTCAATCGTGAAGATTCGGTTTATTTTAAGTAACCGTAGATATATTGTTCGGTTTATCGTACGGTGTCGTTTCCGATCATTTTTGTCTCAAATCGTATGTGTATCAGATCTGACTTTAATTTAATAGTTAAAGAGCTATGTTCATGTTTGAGTTTCGGCTTTTCTCTGGATCTAATCGATCGAAAATTTTCAATTGCGATTGCTCACAATTGATCATAGGATCTAATTTGAAATCTGCGGAGATCTGAATTTGATCAGTTGAAAAATGAGTGCAACAAGCAAGACGGATCAAAAAGCGGCTTTAGACATTGCATCATGGCTCTTCAATGTCGTTACTTCCGTTGGAATCATCCTCGTTAACAAAGCCTTGATGGCTACTTACGGCTTTAGTTTCGGTCTGTCTCTTATTAAAAACAACATCTCTTAATAGTCAACGTCGTTGACTTGGTTTTCAGACACAATAAACTGATTTTAAGATCTGGTTTTGACACAGCTACGACGTTAACCGGTTTGCATTTCGGAACAACCACACTGTTGACAACTTTCTTGACATGGCTTGGTTATATCCAACCTTCTCAGCTTCCCTGGCCTGATCTTCTCAAGTTCGTTTTGTTCGCTAACTTTTCAATCGTTGGGATGAACGTCAGCCTCATGTTGAACTCTGTTGGTTTCTACCAGATTGCTAAGCTGAGTATGATCCCAGTTTCTTGTCTTCTAGAAGTTGTTCTTGACAACGTCAGGTATTCAAGAGATACAAAGCTTAGCATCTTGTTGGTTCTTGCTGGTGTTGCTGTCTGTACGGTTACCGATGTTAGTGTCAATCTCAACGGGTTCCTCGCTGCTGCTATTGCTGTCTGGAGCACTGCCCTTCAGCAATACGTAATGCTTTAATGGCTAATTTTAGCTTTGTTAAACCAAAACAGAGAGGTCTAATATTCTAATTAACAACTGTTATTATATTTTTTTTTGCAGTATGTACATTATCTACAACGGAAATATTCACTTGGTTCTTTCAATTTACTGGCGCATACTGCTCCAGTACAAGCTGGATCGTTGTTGTTGGTTGGACCATTTCTAGACTACTGGTTGACTAATCAAAGAGTCGATGCATTCAACTTTTCATTCATATCTCTGGTAAAAGTTTTTTCCTCTGTTTCTTTACTAAGTCGTCAATGATTATAAAGATGTATTATACAGGGCAGGCCCTGAGAATTAAGGGGGCTAAGGTGATTTTTTAATGAATTTATCTAAACTTTCTTTTTACGGATATGAAGGCCTACAGTTTTTTTTCGGGGTCTATATACATGTAATTTTCTTCAAAAAATTTGGAGGTCAAAGGCCAATATTTCATCCTGCCTTTTTATACTTCATTCAGTTTCGAAAATTGATAAACCAACTATCTGTTACATTTGGGATAAGTCTAATTCTTTTTGTTTTTTGGTGGCAGTTCTTCTTGATACTCTCATGCAGTATCGCGGTTGGAACCAATCTCAGTCAATTCATTTGTATTGGAAGATTCACGGCGGTGTCTTTCCAAGTACTTGGTCACATGAAGACAATCCTTGTCTTGGTTCTGGGATTCACTTTCTTCGGTAAGGAAGGCTTAAACATGCAAGTGGTACTTGGAATGCTCATTGCGATTCTCGGTATGATCTGGTACGGTAATGCATCTTCTAAACCGGGTGGTAAAGAGCGTCGTAGCCTCTCTATTCCCATTACCAAGGCACAGAAACTCAACGGGTTATCTGAATCTGCCGAGTCTGATGGAAAGGTATAAGAGAAAGAAGTGATCGCATTGACATAGAAACAAAGAAGAAGCATCTCAGACACAAACAAAACAGGTAGAAAATATCATATGGAATATTTTACAAACAAAGGGGTTTAATTATTTAATTTCCCAAACTATTACGATTCTTATTTACAGAAAATTTTGTATTTTTGTTGGTTAATCTATTTTTGGCCTTAGCATTTTGTGTTTTTTTGCCTAATTATCCCAAATGAAACATCATCCGTACGACTGATAATAAAATTTTAATTTTATTTTTCTGTTAATTTTTGTTGTCACCTGTTCATGTATGTAGATATTTTCTTTTGTAACGTGAAATATTTATTTTTGTGTCAATGAGTGTTCATACTAAAAGATATACCTGCATTCAAAGAGAACTGAAAATAAAAATATATTTTCTAAACATTTACTCTAATTCAACTTTTATTTATTTTTAAATACTAATCCCTTAAAAGTAAATTTGAAAAGTGGCATCATGTCTTGGTAAAATTAGAATTGACCCTTAATAGAATAAAACATTACTTTTATATTTAAACTAAAAATTAAGAATTCAAAAATTACTTTTATATTTAATCTAATCCCTTTCATGCACCATTGTCAGCATGTTACCACGGGTATGTGGTGGACCGCGACAAGAGTTAGGAGGAAGAAGAGCGTTAAAAGTTTGGACGACGTTATAATAAGCAAATCAAAAACACGAGCAATCAAGAATTTTTTGTTTGTGTTTTTCTTATACCCAAGTACATGTGTTTATATATGCGAAGGAATGGAATTAAATATCATTCTTTATGATATTCCCTTAAAATGGCTATGATATATTTCTCAAATATCTATTCTATTAAAACATAAATACAAAACAATACTTATCTATTTTAAGTGATTTTTCTGCATATTTTTTTTTGATTTTCCATTATTTCTATTCACTTCATTTATTATCTTTTATATATAATCATTTCATTTACTCCCTCCGTTTCAATTTATTTATCATTCTAGATTTTTACACACAGATTAATGAAACATTTAATTTTACACATTTTCAATATAAAAACACAATTACCAATACACCTAACCACTTTTCAACCAATAGAAAAATAGAATATCATATAAACCTAATAAATTATGTCTCGAAACTCTAAAACGACACTTATTTTGAAACAATTTTTTTCCTTTAGAATGACATCTAATTCGAAACGGAAGGAGTATTATTTTTTCTTAAATAATCACTTTATGTATTGTAATCATTTCATTTAATGTCTTACATTAATATGAAACTTATATTGATTTGGTTTTGATGTATGATTTTTTAAAAAATATTTAAAAAGTAATGTATCCAAAGTATATTCAGATATTTCTACCAAAAATAATTATTTTAACAGATACGATTTGAATATTTTGAATCCAAACTAACAAATATTCAAACTAAAAATATCCAAATAACCAAAAGTAATTATATTTCTCGATTTGATTCGGGTTTAGTTTAAATGCATAAGACTTCAAAATATACAATTAATTATATGATTACATATATATAATATATAACTTTAATTATAAAAAATATTTTAGTTTATAAAAATGTAAAATTTAACATCCGTATGGGCGTGCGAATCAATCTCTAGTTCATAATTTCTATGTAAGCTTTTTCGGTATATTTGACTTTTAAATAATTTATACTTTTCTTAGTTTTTATATTTTTGATTTTTGTTATAATATCTATTTAAATTTTCTCAGCAAAATACTTATTTGTTTTTAGTTTTATTTTCCAATTAATTTTAAATCAGTTTTTCACTTCAAATTATATCAAGTATGCATTAAAATATTATATGATAAATATTAAAATAATTTATATAATATCTACTATTTAAAATAATTAATTAAATTTATGATCCTGATAATATTATTTCATGGAGCTGCCACTGCATCAATTGTATATATTTTTGTGTCAATGATTGTTCATACTAAAAGAAATACCTGCATTCCAAGAGAACTATTTATATTTTGTTTGCATTTTATTAGTATGTCATTAAACATATAAAAAAGAGATTACAAAGATAATTATTTATATTTCAATCACAAGAACACTCCCCGTAATTGCTGGGTTCTAAGGTTTTTAAATAAATAGTTTTGTCTATTAGGCCAAAGAAATAGTTTTGTGTACGTATTTGAAACTATTAAGAGAACGACGGGAAATAAAGGGAAAGGCGTTGACACGTATAAAGTCGTTGCGTGGGGAAAGTCTGCTTACGTGGTGCGTGTATTAGAACGGATCTTTCCTCCCACGTGCGTCTGTTATTCGACGTTTGATTGTACTGCCGCACAAAAATTATCATATACAATAAATTTTGTATAAATTAATATTTAATAAATTAATAATTTTTATAAATTAATAAATTTTGTCGATCTTAATTTAATCTTTAATCTTATTTATAATTTGACATAAATCAATAAAATAATAATAATTTTTTTTTAAATATATGATCTTATTAAAATTATAAATTAATAATTATATGTCTACATATTTTATATAAGTAAGAACATATTACTATATAGTCTATATTTTTTTTATATTCACAATAAAATTATCTTTATATTTTCTTAACATTTAATACATTTTGATGATATTAGTAATATTATATCTAAAACACATTTAAATTCTATGCAATATATATTATATACACCAAATAATATCATAAAATTAATAGAAATATTATTTTTTTAAAAAATAATTAATATCTATATACTAAAATAAAATATTTTGTATCTTATAATAATATATCTTAAAATACAAAATCTAAACAATAAACTTTTATAAATTAATATTTCTATAACTTAATAAAATTTTAGAATTTCAACATTATTAATATATAGATGTTCTACTGTAGCATCAAATATCTATCGAACTATCACCTCATATCGTACCTTCCCGAATTATAAGTTGTAAAATTACTTTTTTCCGAATTTATAGATCGAACTCTATTTATCTCCGAATTGATAGTTTGGAACTTAATTATACATAAAAATGGTTTAATCAGTATATTGTTAACCAAATAATTTTAAAACCAAACAAAAAATTGATTATATCAAAAAAGAAGTTTTCAAAGGATTTTGTTGATAGTATTAGTGTGGGATATGAATAGTGTAGGAACATTTTTTAAATAACAATTAGATTGTTTACTTGTTTAATTGCTTTAATTTATATGGTTAATAATAAATTAATATAAATTACAGTATATATGTAATTAAGTTTGGAATTATCGATTTGGATAGAAATAAGTTTGTAGTCATTGATTCAAGAAAATGTGACGCGAGATGATAATTCGATGATACATGTTAGTATATGATAGTTCTCGTGAGGAAATAGTTCGTTGACTATTTTTTTTGTCAAACAAGTTTGATTCTTTAAATAAAATACGTGACACTTTTTTTTATTTTGGGAATATAATTTCGAGTATTAGATTGAAGCTCACGAGAATTATCATGTTTTCATACTATTAAATCAAAGAATCTGAGTTTTTTGGTAAAAAAGTGAGTTTGTCTCTACGGATAAAGAAAAGAAATGCTAATTGGATGTTTAAATATAAAATTAAGTGATATACATCGGATATAGTCAACAAAATGTGTTATAACACACTTGTTGCGTATATCAAATTTAGAATATCATCAGTCCGTGTAATAAGATTTGAAATAATGCTTTGATAGCTGTTGATAGGCTCAACAGTTAAGGTTTTGGAGGAAAATAACTATTTAAATGACACAAAAAATTAAAAAGAAATTATATACGCACAATTTAAAACTAAAGTCAACTTGTATTTGAGCTAGGAGCTCATTATATGACGGTATCTAATGATGCTCAATAGAGCGTCCTTTCAAACTAAATTTTTAAAAATGTTCGAGTTGTTTCCAGCAAAAACATCTAATACATAATTGTTAGGCCAGAATACAACTTTGTATGAATAATACGCTCAAAAACAAATACAATAATACAAATTCTCTTCCAAATATTTTAACCCCAACTAACATATATGATACATATTAGACACTTGAAACATGCACCTTGGATATAACGTATTAGAAACAACATGAATATTTCATATTATTCTGGTGCTTGTTTGTAACTGATTCCTACTCATGCTTTTTATATGCTTTTGTACGTAAGCCAACTATCTAGATTAAGTTTGACGGTCAAAATGTTATGATGTTAATTTAATTCTTTATTATTCCACGATATAGAGTAATAGGTAATGTGTAATTGTGTTTGAGGGCGCTTCCTAATACAATGATTGATCAATAATTGTAGAATTTGGTCCAAATACAACTGCATATACGGTGTATTGGGAGACTGCACTTCAGGGGAAGAAAAAAACGTTATTATTGTGTACCATCACTCCGCGTATTATCATAGTGGACATATTATGTTATATAGTTTTGTTGGTTTTATGTTGTTATTATTGATTAGTCGGTTAAGCCTGGCTCACGGTTAAGCCTTATAAAACATCATAAATTATGAAACAGAAAATAACTCTATGTAATTTTAATTTAGGATAACAATATCTACGAGATTTTATTATCTCCATTTGGTTCCTTATATAAAGAGGAATTGTGTGTGTTCCATATATATCAAAAATTACAAATGGTAAACGAAAGGAACGAAGATGAATGCAATATTCCTCTTTTCCTTTATAGTGAGGTCTTAATGAAACATTCCTGTAAGAAAAATAAAAACACAATTGAGTTATGTGTACTAAAGATATGTAAACGACCAAAGGGTGTTACTAGAAATGCAAGCAAGTTCTCAAGGTTTTTGAGACCGTTGTCTTTCGGTATTTATTGATTTGTTTTACTTTACCTGTTGATTCATTGTAATGTGCTTCAATGCTTTTGAAGCTTTATTTGCTCTTCCGAAGGTTCCACTTCCTGCAGATCTTTTACCGCAGCACCAAAGCCTACGCTGTCTCCATTTGTAAATTTTCGGGACGACAAAGATAAGCCAAAATCAAATGGTCCTCGTGAGTCAGCCTGCATTTAAGAAAATCAGAAAATCATTTACTCGAAATCCTTACTCTAGTTTCAACCTAACATGTTTGATTAATGCGTGTCTTCCATTTATTAATTATATAGCACACTAAACATATGTAGTGCAGAGAGACAAGACAGTTAGAAATCTCACTTACCCATTTGATTCCTGAAAATCCAAGGCTGCTGTCCTGATTAAACACCCCTGAACCAAACAACCCTTTTGCAGGTTTCGCTTCAACGTTCTGTTGCTCTTCCTCAGTTTCTTCACTTACCTGCCAGAAAACTCAGATCCGGTAAACAAGAGTTTGCAAGTTGTAAACTAATCAGAAATGCATACTGAAGACTAAAAAATATGAATAACGAATAACATGGGAAAGGTTTAACCTGCTCAAGAACCTTGGCTGAGGTTGTAGTACGCTTTCGGAATGAAAATGCATGGCATGTGTCTTCTGCGTCGAGTATAGAAGAATGTGACAGCTCGGGAGGAGGAGGTGCATGACGTGGAGCTTGAGGCTGGCCTGTTGTTTGGTTCACGAAGAAAGCATCTAATGAATCAGATATTAGAGGTAATGGTTGTTGTGAGGTAGTTCCCCTTGCATCCCATGTTTTGTTACCGTCACTAAACCTCCCTTCTCCTCGTGATGATGCTTCAGAAAGAAAGGCTCCAATGCTAAAAATTGGCTGATTACTGTTATTATTATGAGTTGATTCTTCTTTACCGCGTCTGCCTTGTAAAGATGCCTCAGAAAACAGACCTCCAATGCTTATGTTTGTAAGATTTTCGTCCCAAAGAGTTGGGGTCGCGTTTGGATTTTTGGAGTTGTTCCCGAATTTCCCCTTCAAAGATACTTCAGAAAGTAAGCCGCCAATACTTAAACTTGTTAAACCATCATCCCACTGAAAAAATGTTGGTCCAGATCCATTATTTATCTCCTTCTCCTGGTTAAGCAAAAGTAGTCAAGATGTATACCATGATATAAGATTTGAGTCCAAAAAAAAGAGATGAGCATAACTATTTTTTACTAAGCATACCGCTGCTGACTCGACTTGTCCATCAGGTGGACTGTGTTCAGAGAGAGGCGGGTCAGTCACTTGATTTAGGTTATCTAAACCGAACATCTGCTTTCCCGTCATACTGGCAATCTCTCTTCTGTTACTAATGAACTTTTGAGGCTCTACATTTGGAAAACAAGTGATACCAGGAGTTGATGGAGACGGGGGTTCATCTGTTTTATTACAAGTCCCAGAGGACCATCCATACCTAAACGAAATAAACACTCATAAGACGCGGCCTTGCTTATAAAAGTTGAGTTGAGAGCTATATACTGATGCAAACCTTAAGCGGAATAGGGATGGAGCTCCAATAGCTACATAGACATCCCTTATCGTAATGCTGCTGTTTGCTGTCCATTTAGGACCAGAAGGGAGTCTCGATTGATCATATGGGTACAAGGTGGGATCTCCCCGAGTGATCTCTGAGCTTCCCCACTTACTTTGAATGTGTTGAAGCACTGAAGAAACCTTCTTCCGTGAGCTAAGAGTGAGTTCTAAATATGGGTGAAAGCCATCCTTGCAAAATTTAAAAAAATAAAAAAGTTAGAAAAAACATCCACGAGAATGTATACTTAGTCCATGTCTTATGGTCGACTTTACCTTTTCTAACCCTTCACGGGTATTAACATCCAAAGGAAAGAGCTGCAACTTCATTTTTCCAGAAGGTCGGTGAACCGAATGGAGATCAAGGACAGGTACTTGTTGAGCTCCTCCGTCTTTGGTATTTACACAGCTTCGAACTTGAAAGGATGGAGACTCGTCTGGAGAATCAGAAGGGGACTTCTTCTTATTCTCTCTTTTACTATTATTATTTCCTGCCAACAAATCCTTGATAAGAACAAAAAAAACACAATACAAATCTGTCATCCTTGGTAAGAATAATGTGAAAATTACCCGTGTCATGGACTTTCTTAGTACTTGTTTTCATGCATTTATTGGCTCTGGTGAATTTTCCTCTGGCTTTGATCTCCTTTGAGGATTCAGGTGAAGTATCAGTCTTCTTTCTGGCCATTCTGCAAAAAAAACAATCAAAACTCAAGAGTCAAAGCCTCCCCATTCACCATGCTATTCCACAGAGATTCATAAGGTAAGCTCTGGCTATACAGATTCTCAAACCTAAATGCCTCAAAGATATAGATGAAAGAATATTCCCAATATTCTGTATTCAGTTCCTGTAATATAGGAAAGATCGCTTGTGATCGTAACAGATAGCTCCTTATATACTCCTGTACATCAACGTTATTAATTAAGAAGATACGCAGACTTTCATGGTATCAGAGCTTGCTCTACCAGATCCATCTTTTTTCCTTTTTCGTTCTTCTGTAATAATCGATCTGTAGTGTCTCCAACCAAGCTTTAATGGCAGCAGTTGAGCGCGCGTTCGGTGTTACCAACATCAAACACCATATCCCCGTGGTGTTAGATCTCGACGTCTTCAATTATGACGCATGGAGAGAGTTGATGCAAACTCATTGCTTAACCTTCGACGTCCTAGGACATATCGATGGTTCCTCTGCCCCAACCGGTGATGACAAGCTCCACGTGCCTGGAATGCCCGCATCAACGCCTTCCTCGCTCGTCTAGGCTTTGTCTCCACGAAATCAGATGCTTCTCTCTATGTGTATAAAAGAGGATCTGACATTGCTTATCTGTTGCTCTATGTTGATGACATTGTTCTAACAGGTTCAAGTTCCTCCCTGCTCCACAAGATCACAACAAGTCTCAAAAGTGAATTTCCAATCACCGATATGGGAAGACTAAGTCACTTCTTGGGTGTCAAAGTCGAGTACAACCAATCCGGCATCTTGCTGTCTCAACAACAATACACCACCGAGATCATCGAAAGAGCAGGAATGGCCGACTGTAAGCCTCTCTCCACCCCTGTTGATGTCAACGCTAAGCTATCTGCTGAAGGCGGTGACAAAGTGAAGGACCCCACACAGTACAGAAGCTTAGCCGGAGCTCTCCAATACCTCACTTTCACACGACCTGATATCACCTACGGCGTCCAGCAATGTTGTCTCTTCATGCATGATCCACGAGTCCAGCATATGCAGGCCCTCAAACGCATTATACGCTATCTCCAAGGAACCAAATCGTTTGGGCTTCAGCTCTACAAGTCGACAACAAACGCACTTACCGCTTACTCCGACGCTGACTGGGCTGGGTGTCCAGACACACGACGATCAACTTCTGGCTACTGCATCTATCTTGGAGACAATTTGATATCCTGGTCTTCAAAGCGCCAACACACAGTGAGCCGTTCAAGCGCCGAAGCTGAATACAGAGGAGTTGCAAACACCTTGGCCGAAACATCTTGGCTCAGGAATCTACTACTCGAACTTCACGTTCCACTCACCAAAGCAACTCTCATCTTCTGCGATAATGTGAGTTCAGTCTATCTCTCTTCAAATCCGGTCAAGCATCAACGAACCAAGCATGTCGAGTTGGACATTCATTTTGTTCGGGAAAAAGTGGCTTTAGGCGAAGTTAAAGTTCTTCATGTCCCCACTGCATTTCAATACGCAGATATATTCACAAAGGGACTCCCAACTTCATTGTTCAACAGCTTCAGAGACAGCCTGACCGTTCGACGAAACCACGTCCAGTCTGAGGGAGGGTGAAAGAATATTCCCAATATTCTGTATTCAGTTCCTGTAATATAGGAAAGATCGCTTGTGATCGTAACAGATAGCTCCTTATATACTCCTGTACATCAACGTTATTAATTAAGAAGATACGCAGACTTTCAATAGATTCATCCACAAAGAAACTAATCACAATCAAATCAATTCAGAATTGTTGAGCAACACACAATTACAAATACAATCATCAATTGGTTCGTTCTTCAGAATGATTGGTAGCAAAACCTCCGATTACCCAGAATCCTAACCTAGAAACTCAAATCTCGACTTATCCACAACCGAACGAACCTCCAGAGATAATTAAATTCAAAATTAAGATTAACAACACACAGTTACGGTCAAATAATTCGGAAGATTCTGTTAAAAAAATAACGAACTCGTTCTAATCAGAAACCCTAGAAATCCAGAGCTAGATGATCCAACCGAACGAAAATCCTAATTAATTAAGCAAGACGAAATTAAAATTCGTAACCAGCTAAAACCGAAAATCTAGAACATTAGAATTACGGAAACATCTCAAATCAAGCAACAGAATAAACGATCGGTGGAGAAGAGTCAAAAAACAAGCACGAATCGGGAATTAAAAGTCTCTGAGAAAGATCGACACAATCACAAACCTCATCTGTTATCGACTTTGAAAACGCGCGAGAGAGCTTGCTGAACGAGAAGACGATGGAGCTATCAGACGAGAACAGAGAGAGATCGGCGAAAATTCTCCGAGAGCAAAAAAGATAAGGCGGGAATGAAAATGTTGAAAATATAATTCTCCCTCCCTTTGCTTTTTTTTTCATATACTGTACTATCAAAACATTCACTCCAGATTAGTTGAGGTCGGTTTTTTTTATATGGGCCTAAATGTGTGGCCCATTAGTTAAATCTTAGTCCACCCACCAGCTTTATCTTAATTAACACATCAAGGAGTGACATGTTTTTTAAATTGTGAAAAAATGAAAGCAGATTGGTTGTTTTTTTGTTCTTTTTTGATATAACCTAAAGAAGATTGGTTGCTTCCAAAGACAATATAATTTGGTTGACACCTTAAATGCTGCTGCTTCACACTTTGACGTGCTAACAAGGAAGATATAGCAACCATACATACGTATGAGTTTCTTTCGCCATAATGTAAGCTTTTATTGAAAACTATGTTATGTGATCACTCTCTCTCTCTCTGGAATTGATTTTTGTCAAGTATCAATCCGACGTCATTTTCAAAAACCACATTCATAGCATCATAGTTAATTTGATTTCATTCCATCTATTATTCAATATGAATATAAAACAATTGGTTGCAATTCAATTCAAGATTTCAAATGATCAAATCAATTGAATTTTTTTTGTGTTCCGATATTTTTTTCATTATTTTCATCATACGGATATCTACTATATATTTCTTGTTATTGGACTTTTAAAAATGATGTACTAGCGCATATGTGAACAAACAGTAACACACATGTATTGTCATACGGTCCCATTAAAGTTAATATATGTAGCTTACTACTATTTATGAATCTATGATAATAACGCCTGATATCTAACTGAAACTTACCATGAAAAGAAAAACAGCTCACATGAAAACCATCGAATAACGACAATGAGACTGAGATATTTTAACAGAGACAAGTTTTAATTAAAAGAAAAAAATAAAAAATAAATACGCATATAGAAGTAGAAACTCACAAGAAAGTTTAGTGTGTGTTTGGATCTTTAACCAAACGGAACCTTTGTCTTTTGATTTTTGGGGTTGTCCCACTACACAGATTGTCCTTTTGTCGAATAGAAAATTGGTCACGCCTTTTTAGTTCCAAACTTTTCGTTTCCATCATTCCTCTCTACTCCAACACTTTTCCACTTTTATCTATATATTTTCTCCATTTTTTCTCGAACAATTATTTTTTTTTATGTGATGAAACATAACACATTCTTATATTTTGTTGTTAAATTATCTAAACAAATCTCTACATTTGAACTGATGTATATCGCTAAAGAAGAAAGCGAGGGAAATAAACAAATAAAATAAAAAATTTAAAAAGAGAAAAGATTCTACTCTCTGTCCTCTCTCTTAAATGTCAGGAAGGAGAGAGACTCTCATGTGAAGTCCTCCATAACTGAAAATTTAAAAAATTAATAAATAACTGAAGAGAGAAAATAATAAAATCACTCGAAGTTTCACAATAATATCTCCACCTCTCTAAAAATTCACGTTGATTTTGACTTAATCGTCTTCCTCCGTCTCCGACTCTCCGTGCCGCCGGCTCGGTAGCAACAGAAACCGCCGAGGTGTCCGTCGTCTTGGAAGGAGGCTAGTTCTCTCCGTTACCTGGTAAAACTTTATTCTTTTCAATCGTGAAGATTCGGTTTATTTTAAGTAACCGTAGACATATTGTTCGGTTAATTAGTACGGTGTCGTTTCCGATTATAATTCACCAGAAATGTGCTTATCAGTTTTGTCTCAAATCGTATGTGTATCAGATCTGACTTTAATTTAATAGTTAGAGAGCTATCTTCATGTTCGAGTTTTGGCTTTCTCTGGATCTAAACGATAAAAAAAATCAATTGCGATTGCTCACAATTGATCATAGGATCTAATTTGAAATCTGCAGAGATCTGAATTGATCTGTTAAAATGAGTGCAACAAGCAAAACGGATCAAAAGGCGGCTTTAGACATTGCATCATGGCTCTTCAATGTCGTTACTTCCGTTGGAATCATCCTCGTTAACAAAGCCTTGATGGCTACTTACGGCTTTAGTTTCGGTTTGTCTCTTATTAAAAACAACATCTCTTAATAGTCAACGTCGTTGACTTTGTTTCAAACACAATAAAGTGATTATAAGATCTTGTTTTACACAGCTACGACGTTAACCGGTTTGCATTTTGGAACAACGACATTGTTGACAACTTTCTTGACATGGCTTGGTTATATCCAACCATCTCAGCTTCCCTGGCCTGATCTTCTCAAGTTCGTTTTGTTCGCTAACTTTTCAATCGTTGGCATGAACGTCAGCCTCATGTTGAACTCTGTTGGTTTCTACCAGATTGCTAAGCTGAGTATGATCCCAGTTTCTTGTCTTCTAGAAGTTGTTCTTGACAACGTCAGGTACTCAAGAGATACAAAGCTTAGCATTCTGTTAGTTCTTGCTGGTGTTGCTGTCTGTACTGTAACAGATGTTAGTGTCAATCTCAACGGGTTCCTCGCTGCTGCTATTGCTGTCTGGAGCACCGCCCTTCAGCAATACGTAATGCTTTAATGGCTAATTTTAGCTTTGTTAAACCAAAATAGAGAGGTCTACTATTCTAATTAACAATTGTTATTATATTTTTTTGCAGTATGTACATTATCTACAACGGAAATATTCACTTGGTTCTTTCAATTTACTGGCGCATACTGCTCCAGTACAAGCTGCATCGTTGTTGTTGGTTGGACTATTTCTAGACTACTGGTTGACTAATCAAAGAGTGGATGCATTCAACTTTTCATTCATATCTCTGGTAAAAGTTTTTTCCTCTGTTTCTTTACTAAGTCGTCAATGATTATAAAGATGTATATTATACAGGGCAGGTCCTGAGAATTAGGGGGCTAAGGCGATTTTTTAACAAATTCATCTAAACTTTCTTTTACGGATATGAAGGCCTAAAATTTTTTTTTCGGGGGTCTATATACATGTAATTTTCTTCAAAAAATTTGGGGGTCTAAGGCCAATATTTCATCCGGCTTGGTCTAGGCCGGCCTTTTTATACTCCATTCAGTTTCGAAAATTGATAAACCAACTATCTGTTACATTTGGGATAAGTCTAATTCTTTTTGTTTTTTGGTGGCAGTTCTTCTTGATACTCTCATGCAGTATCGCGGTTGGAACCAATCTCAGTCAATTCATTTGTATTGGAAGATTCACAGCGGTGTCTTTTCAAGTACTTGGTCACATGAAGACAATCCTTGTCTTGGTTCTGGGATTCACTTTCTTCGGTAAGGAAGGCTTAAACATGCAAGTGGTACTTGGAATGCTCATTGCGATTCTCGGTATGATCTGGTACGGTAATGCATCTTCTAAACCGGGTGGTAAAGAGCGTCGTAGCCTCTCTATTCCTATTACCAAGGCACAGAAACTCAACGGGTTATCTGAATCTGCCGAGTCTGATGGAAAGGTATAAGAGAAAGAAGTGATCGCATTGACATAGAAACAAAGAAGAAGCATCTCAGATACAAACAAAACAGGTAGAAAATATCATATGGAATATTTTACTAACAAAGGGGTTTTAATTATTTAATTTCCCAAACTATACGATTCTTATTTACAGAAAATTTTGTATTTTTGTTGGTTAATCTATTTTTGGCCTTTGCATTTTGTGTTTTTTTTTCCTAATTATCCCAAATGAAACATCATCTGTACGACTGATAATAAAATTTTAATTTTATTTTTCTGTTAATTTTTGTTGTCACCTGTTCATGTATGTAGATATTTTTTTTTGTAACGTGAAATATTTATTTTTGTGTCAATGAGTGTTCATACTAAAAGATATACCTGCATTCAAAGAGAACTGAAAATAAAAATATATTTTCTAAACATTTACTCTAATTCAACTTTTATTTATTTTTATATTCTAATCCCTTAAAAGTAAATTTGAAAAGTTGCATCATGTCTTTGGTAAAATTAGAATTGACCCTTAATAGAATAAAACATTACTTTTATATTTAAACTAAAAATGAAGAATTGAAAAATTACTTTTATATTTAATCTAATCCCTTTCATGCACCATTGTCTGCATGTTACCAGGGGTATGTGGTGGACCGCGACAAGAGTTAGGAGGAAGAAGAGCGTTAAAAGTTTGGACGACACTATAATAAGCAAATCAAAAACACGAGCAATCAAGATTTTTTTGTTTGTGCTTTTCTTATACCCAAGTACATTTTTTTTTGGTAAACATGTTAAGTATTATTACCATTTTTGATTTGTGACAGAAGATACAAGAGAATACTAGTAGCAGATGATTATCTAACTAAAACAAGAAACTAATCAAAACAACACTACTCTAGAACACACTAGCCCACCCTTACCAACGACAAACGCACGGAGCAGGACAGGAGGACAAAGCTAGAGAGCTAACAAGAAGCTGTCCCAGAGACACATCAGCACACAATAGGTGGTCCACATATCACATGGAGACACCAGACCCGGTAGAATACGGCTTGCCCAGAGTCCGGTTCAGAAAGATGACCTCAACACAAAGGAGCCAAAGTGAACAATGACAGCATCACCCTGCTACTGCTAGCAAGCAACACGGCAACCACACAAGACGATGAGTCGCAAGGAAGAGCGATTATTCAGGATGGAGAACTCGCCGAAAGTGCCACTCCACCGCACCAGAATCCAAGGAGACAGACCAAACCAGCACCTTCCCCAAGAGAAAGGTCAGAGACACGCCCTAGATCGAACCTCTGAGACTGGTTGGGACCGCACGCGCCGTCACAGAGCACAAGACTGCGGTAGACAAAGCCACAAATCCTAACTCTACGCGCCACTACCACGGAGAACCCGAAGCAGATAACTTTAGACTGGATCTGGTGGCCTCACCGGAAGAGACACCACGAGATCGACCGACAGGCCCAAAGAAACCAGAAGACGGAAGAGTCCACCACCGGAACAGACCTGCGAGAAGCGCTCGCCCTAGCCGAGAAGGAGGAGAGAGGGGCGTAAAAGAAAGCGACCGCTGTCTTCAACACTCAGATCTGGACCCCAGACCGAGATTCCACCACCTACAAACGACCAAAGAAACCTCGAGCCTCCAGCTTTCCCAACCTCGCCGTGCCTCCAAAGACCAAGACCGACAGATCTGAACCGCGGTGACGGCCAAATCCCAGAGCCACGAGCATATCAGAAGAGAGGGAGCGAAGGTGAGAGGCGAGGAGAAAAACAATACAATATTAAAAAGGGGGTGGAGACCGACGGCAAAACTCCCGCCGGCCGCCGGAAATCAAATGTAGATCTAGGGTTTTTCTTATCGGTGGCGAGAGAGAGGAGAGAGAGACTTAAACCTCTTTCATCGCGTCTTTCCTTATACCCAAGTACATGTGTTTTATATATGCGAAGGAATGGAATTAAATATCATTCTTTATGATATTCCCTTAAAATGGCTATGGTATATTTCTAGAATATCTATTATATTAAAATAGAAGTATAAAACAATACTTATCTATTTCAAGTGATTTTTCTGCATATTTTCATTCTATTTTTAATTATTTCTATTCAGTTTATTTATTGTCTTTTATATATAATCACTTCACTTTTTTTTAAATAATCATTTTATTTATTATAATCATTTTATTTAGTGTCTTGTATTAATATGAAACTTATATGGATTTGGTTTTGATGTATAATTTTTTTAAAAATATTCAAAAAGTAATGTACCCAAAGTATATTCAGATATTTCAACCAAAAAAATTATTTTAATCGATACGATTTGAATATTTTGAATCCAAACAAAAATAACCAAAAGTAATTATATTTTTCGATTTGATTTGGGTTCAGTTTAGATGTATAAGACTTCAAAATATACAATTAATTATATGATAACATATATAGAATTTATAACTTTAATTATAAAAAAAAATATTTTAATTTATAAAAATGTAAAATTTAATATCTATACGGACGTGCGAGTCAATCTCTAGTTTATAATTATTATGTAAGCCTTTTCGGTATATTTGACTTTTAAACAGCTTATACTTTTCTTAGTTTTTATATGTTTTGATTTTTTTTATTATAATATCTATTTTAATTTTCTCAGCAAAATACTTATTTGTTTTTAGTTTTATTTTCCATTTAATTTTAAATCAGTTTTTCACTTCAAATTATATCGAGTATGCATTAAAATATTATATGATAAATATTAAAATAATTTATATAATATCTACTATTTAAAAATAATTAATTAAATTTATGATCCTGAACAAATATTTCATGGACCTGCCACTGCATGAAATGTATATATTTTTGTGTCAATGATTGTTCATACTAAAAGAAATACCTGCATTCCAAGAGAACGATTTATATTTTATTTGCATTTTATTCGTATGTCATTAAACATATAAAAAAGAGTTTTACAAAGATAATTATTTATATTTCAATCACAAGAACACTCCCCGTAATTGCTGGGTTCTAAGGTTTTTAAATAAATAGTTTTGTCTATTAGGCCAAAGAAATAGTTTTGTGTACGTATTTGAAACTATTAAGAGAACGACGGGAAATAAAGGGAAAGGCGTTGACACGTATAAAGTCGTTGCGTGGGGAAAGTCTGCTTACGTGGTGCGTGTATTAGAACGGATCTTTCCTCCCACGTGCGTCTGTTATTTGACGTTTGATTGCTTTTTTTTTGCTCAAGTTTGATTTGTTTTCGACGTTTGATTGTATTTCCGCACAAAAGTTATCATATACAAGAAAATTTCTATAAATTAATATTTAATAAATTAATAAATTTATCAATCCTAACTTAATCTTTACTCTGATTTATAATTTGACATAAATCAATAAATAAGAAAATAATTTTTTAAAGAAAATTCTATTAAATATATGATCTCATTAAAATTATAAATTAATAATTATATGTCTACATATTTTATATAAGTAAGAACATATCACTATATAGTCTATATTATTTGCTTTATATTCACAATAAATTATCTTTATATTTTCTTAACATTTAATACATTTTGATATATTAGTAATATTATATCTAAAACACATTTAAATTCTATGCAATATATATTATATACACCAAATAATATGAAAATTAATATAACTATCAATTTTTTTTAAAAAAAAAAATTAATATCTATATACTAAAATAAAATATTTTGTATCTTATAATAATATATCTTAAAATACGAAGTCTAAACAATAAAACTTTTATAAATTAATATTTCTATAACTTAATAAAATTTTAGAATCTCAACATTATTAATATATAGATGTTATACTGTAGCATCAAATATCTATTGAACTATCACCTCATGTCATATCTTCCCGAATTATAAGTTATAAAATTTTTTCTCTCCGAATTTATAGTTCAAACTCTATTTCTCTCTGAATTAATAGTTTGGAATTTAATTATACATAAACAATGGTCTAATCAGTATATTGTAACCAAAGCATGGTTTTAAAACCAACCAAAAATATGATTATATCAAAAAAAAAGTTTTTAAAGGATTTTGATGATAGTATTAGTGTGGTATTTGAATAGTGTATGAACATTTTTAATACAAATTAGATTATCTTGTTTAATTGATTTAAGTTATATGGTTAATAATAAATCAATATAAATTATAGTATATATGTAATTAAGTTTGGAACTATGGATTTGGGTAGAAATAAGTTTGTAATCATTGATTCAAGAAAATGTGACACGAGATGATAACTTAATGGTACATATTGGTATATGATAATTCTCATGAGGAAATATTGACCATTTTTTTGTGTCAAACAAGTTTGATTCTGTAAATAAAACATGTGACACTTTTTTTTTTTTTTGGGAATATAATTTCGGGTATTGGATGGAAGCCCACAAGAATTATCATGTTTTCATACTATTAAATCAAAGAACCTGAGTTTTTTTGGTAAAAAAAAAGTGAGTTTGTCTCTATGGATAAAGAAAAAAATGCTAAAATTGGATGTTTAAATATAAAATTAAGTGATATTCATCGGATATAGTCAACAAAATGAGTTATAGTTATAACACACTTGTTGCATAAATCAAATTAAGAATATCATCAGTCCGTGTAATAAGATTTGAAATAATGCTTAGATAGCTGTTGAAACGCTCAACAGTTAAGGTTTTGTAGGAAAATAACAATTTAAATGACACAAAAAATTTAAAAGAAATTATATACGCACACTTAAAACTAAAGTCAACTTGTATTTGAGCTGGGAGCTAGCATTATATGACGGTATCTAATGATGCTCAATAGAGCGTCCTTTCAAACTAAATTTTTAAAAACGTTCGAGTTGTTTCCAGCAAAAACATCTAATACATAACTGTTAAGCCAGAATATAACTTTGTATGAAAATTATATTAAGATCCCGAACCTATATAAATCAAATATACTTCAAATTATCGAATAATACGCTCAAAAACAAATACAATAATACAAATTCTCTTCCAAATATTTTAACCCCAACTAACATATATGATACATATTAGACACTTGAAACATGCACCCTGGGTATAACGTATTAGAAACAACATGAATATTTCATAGTATTATTCTGGTGCTTGTTTGTAACTGATTCCTACTCATGCTTTTTTATGCTTTTGTACGTAAGCCAACTATCTAGATTAAGTTTGACGGTCAAAATGTTATGATGTTAATTTAATTCTTTATCATACCACGATATAGAGTAATAGGTAATGTGTAATTGTGTTTGAGGGCGCTTCATAATACAATGATTGATCAATAATTGTAGAATTTGGTCCAAATACAACTGCATATACGGTGTATTGGGAGACTGCACTTCAGGGGAAGAAAAAAACGTTATTATTGTGTACCATCATTCCGCGTATTATCATAGTGGACATATTATGTTATATATTTTTGTTGGTTTTATGTTGTTATTATTGATTAGTCGGTTAAGCCTGGCTCACGGATCTCTCAGACTATCAAAAATAAAGGCTCAAACATTTTCGCGAACAATATATTTTATTCTGATTGTTGCAATAGCCCAACATGTAATTTGACGTTTCCTAAAATGTTATTGTTTGTAATTTAAAGTTTTTATGAAAACTTTTTTTTTTGAACTTTAAGTTTTCATAAAAACTCTGAAAGGGGAATTCCAAATTAAACCAAGGATGTTTTATGATTAGTGTCAATAAATAGTCAAGCTTTAAAATTTTTGGATGAAAAAGATTTTGAAAAATAATAAGATTCATTTTTCAGTAGTTGTGTAGTATCAAAAAGAGTCATTTTTCAGTACGAAAATAGAAAAACGAAAAGAAGAAGTAATACTTTTGCTGATGTTCTAAATAGCTCCTGAAGCGCATAAGAAAGGACTTATGCTGATGTTCTAATCATTTTTTTTATAGTTTAAGTCAGCAACATCGTCACTAGATTTACTTCTAGTTCTAGATACAGATAACGGTTTGATATATTAGATTTACCGAGGAACTGAGGAAGAAGGAGAGAGCAAATCAACATTTATTTACCGTTGAGATGACATCGATGGCTGGGATTGGTTTTCAGACTTTTTGGGGACCATCTCGTACAGTGTACTACACTGCAAGCATTTACGAACGTCTGTGTTAGTCACACTTTAGTTAGACCTACTATCCACCAATCATACTCGGCTCCGTGAACGTCTGTACCACACGTCCTTGTAATAATAGCTCGGTGCTTATAGACCAATGTTCTATTATCAGAAAAATACGAAATAAACACATCACTAAACACACCTTTTTCCATTAGTTTGTGTAAAAAGGTTACTTGTACCAACAGGTCCAATATAGTATTAGATCACTATAGTATCCCTAGAGGCTTGTATCTATCATATCATTAATTCTCAGCAGATTAGGAAAATAGCATATTATAAATGTAAATTTTTAGCAAAAAAAGAAAAGAAAATGATATCATTTTCATATACATAAAATTCAATAGGCTGGAAAGTATATTGTCAAATTTGTTATAATGCATGTATACTTTTTTTTCTTATAATACATGTATACACCAACACACAGCTGCACGTAGGGCTTTGCACATAATTACGAAATGTTTAAAAAACTGCCACAAAGGAAACATTTAATAGAAAAGGTTTGAAAAAAGTTTGGTTCCCTCTAATCTATCCGTCTACGTAAGTGCCAGAAAACACGAAGGGAAGATAGACTAATTTAGTAAGAAAAGAAATAGCAAAGGCTAATAATAGTATTAATGAGAAAATAACTAGCAAAGATAGTATTAGTGAGAAAAGAGTTCGCAAGTACTTAAACTGATAGATTAGTAATATCCCCGAAAGTATAACAAAATTAATAAATTATACTAAAAGAAGATGGAATCTGCCATTGATGACACTCATGTCCCAATCGTTGCTCACACGTACGCTCGTTTTTTTCTTTCTCTTTTGTAAAAAGCTAGAGGGACAATCTTTCCTTCACTTTTTTCAGACACAAGTGCGAGTGAACAAGAAAGGAGTGTTAATTGAAATGTTTGTGGTTGGTGTGAAAGTCATGTAAAACTATTAATGTAATTACCTTAACATCAAAGTAAACTTCAACTTTTTTGCTAGCCATTACATTCAATGCCTCAGATCTTGTTATCAATAAACAAGAACTTAGATTCCATGTTCCATTTTTACTGAAATACTTAGCCATTAGTTCATAAATGTGGAATTAGTTAGTTGCTGGGCATCTTGTGTTGAAACAAAAACATTAAACCAGCACCAAACCAAAAGCCAGACTAGACTCGTATTTAAACTCTACAGCTAGGTGATTGAGGTAGAATATATAAAACTAATTGTTTAAAGTCTAGAACGAGATTAAAATGGGTAAAATATGATATAGCTTGTGGAATACTTGATCCCATCCCCAGATCTCACGTTATTTAAACACCTCTCATGTACTTACAAGTACCTTATTTCTTTAACTTTAATAAAAAAAAGGCTTTGAGATTAAGGATTTTGTGATGCCAACTATCTTATTAGTTTCTTGTATATCAATATCCTCTTGCATTGATTATTCTTTTTTAACACATTCAATAATTAAAAAGTTGTATTATTTGTTTGTATCTGCTATCAAAACTGAAATTAATATTTTGATAATAATAATAAGCAGAAGAAGAGGTAACATGCCATGTGATGGCACAGCTGTGACCACTCTTCCCTTCACCATTTGATAAATACCTTCTTCCATCTTCCTTCTCCTGTCTTTTGACTCTCTTCTCTCTCTCTCTTTGGCTTTTCTTAATCTCTCTCTTTCTAGAGCTTTCAATTCCTCTCTAATGGTGGAACCAAAACCCTAGATCTTCCCATTTTCATCTTATCTGCTTCCACACCCCTCTCTCTCAAAAACTGTGAGAATGAAGACTTTTCCAAGCTTCTTTCTCTCTGTAACAACTCTCTTCTTCTTCTTCTCCTTCTCTCTTTCCCTTCAAGTTTCTTCACCATACAAAGAAACCCATCAGCTCATAACCTTCAAAAACGTTCTCCCCGACAAGAACCTACTCTCAGACTGGTCTCCCGACAAGAACCCCTGTACCTTCGAAGGCGTCACTTGCAAAGACGACAAGATTTCCTCAATCGATCTCAGTTCCAAGCCACTTAACATCGGCTTCAGCGCCGTGTCTTCATCTCTCTTGTCTCTCACCGGATTAGAGTCTCTGTTCCTCTCAAACACCCACATCAACGGCTCCATCTCTAGTCTCAACTGCCCCGCCTCTCTCACCACCTTGGATCTCTCCAGAAACTCAATCTCCGGTCCTGTCTCAACCTTGTCGACCCTAAACTCTTGCACTGGTCTGAAATTTCTCAACGTCTCATCCAACACACTAGACTTCCCCGGGAAAATCTCATCTCCCTTGAAGCTTAGCAACAGCTTGGAAGTTCTTGATCTCTCCACCAACTCCCTCTCCGGTGCTAACGTCGTCGGCTGGATTCTCTCCGATGGCTGTCAAGAGCTGAAACACTTTGCCATAAGCGGAAACAAAATCAGTGGACACGTGGATGTCTCTCCTTGCACAAGCCTCAAGTTCCTCGATATCTCCTCCAACAATTTCTCCACTGTGATTCCATCTCTCGGTGCCTGCTCGTCTTTACAACATCTCGACATCTCCGGGAACAAACTAACCGGCGACTTCTCCACTGCTATCTCCTCATGCATAAACCTCAAGTCTTTAAACATCTCAGGAAACTCATTCTCCGGACCTATAACCACACTACCCCTCAAAAACCTACAGTATCTCTCTCTAGCTGAGAACAAATTCTCCGGAGAGATCCCGGAGATTCTCTCCGGCGCGTGTAACACACTCACCGCGCTTGATCTCTCCGGAAACGAATTTTACGGTACGGTTCCTCCTTTCTTCGGTTCATGCTCTCTTCTTGAGTCATTCCTTTTATCCACCAACAAATTCTCCGGGGAGTTACCGATGAATACTTTATTAAAGATGAGAGGTCTTAAAATTCTTGATCTCTCTTTCAACGAGTTCTCGGGAGAGATACCAGAGTCTCTAACCAACCTCTCAGCTTCTCTGCTTACGTTAGATCTCAGCTCCAACAACTTAACCGGTCCCATTCTCCCGAGCCTCTGCAGTACCAACGGTGAAAAAAACACACTCCAAGAGCTTTACCTTCAGAACAATGCCTTCACTGGGAAGATCCCCGCGACGTTAAGTAACTGCTCGGAGCTTGTTTCGCTTCACCTGAGCTTTAACTACCTCTCGGGGACGATCCCGTCGAGTCTTGGCTCTCTTTCGAAGCTACGAGATTTGAAGCTTTGGATGAATATGCTTGAAGGAGAGATACCTCAAGAGCTTATGTTTGTTAATACGTTGGAGACTTTGATTCTTGACTTCAACGTCTTAACCGGAGAAATCCCTTCCGGTTTAAGTAACTGTACGAATTTAAACTGGATTTCTCTTTCGAATAACCGGTTAACCGGTCGGATTCCGAGGTGGATCGGGCGGTTAGAGAATCTCGCTATCTTGAAGCTGAGTAACAATTCTTTCTATGGTGAAATCCCAGCTGAGCTTGGAGATTGCAGGAGCCTAATCTGGCTTGATCTCAATACTAATAACTTCAACGGTACGATTCCGAAGGAGATGTTTAAACAGTCAGGGAAAATAGCTGCGAATTTTATAGCCGGGAAGAGGTATGTTTATATTAAAAACGATGGGATGAATAAACAGTGTCACGGAGCTGGTAACTTGCTTGAGTTTCAAGGAATCAGACCGGAGCAGCTTAACCGGGTTTCGACGAGGAATCCGTGTAATTTCACGAGGGTTTATGGTGGTCATACTCAGCCTACGTTTGATAATAACGGCTCGATGATGTTCCTAGACATGTCTTATAACATGTTGTCTGGTTACATACCGAAGGAGATTGGTTCGATGGCGTATTTGTTTATTCTCAACTTGGGGCATAATATTATCTCTGGCTCTATCCCTGACGAGGTTGGTGATTTGAGAGGGTTGAATATTCTTGATCTTTCGAGTAATAAGCTTGATGGGAGGATACCTCAGGCGATGTCGGCACTTACTATGCTTACGGAGATTGATTTGTCGAATAATTTGTTATCCGGGCCGATTCCTGCGATGGGTCAGTTCGAGACTTTCCCGCCTGTGAAGTTTTTGAATAACTCTGGTCTCTGCGGGTATCCGCTTCCGCGGTGTGGCGAAGCAAACGCTGACGCGTTTGCTCGCCGTTCCAACGGAAGGAAACAGCCGTCTCTTGCGGGGAGTGTGGCGATGGGTTTGTTGTTCTCTTTTGTATGTATATGTGGGTTGATTCTTTTGGGTAGGGAGATGAGGAGGAGGAGGAGGATGAGAGAGGCGGCGGAACTGGATATGTATGAGGAAGGGGGTGGGAACTCTGGTGATAGAACCGTGGATTGGAAGAAGACTGGTGCTAAAGAAGCATTGAGTATTAGTCTTGCAGCGTTTGAGAAGCCGTTGCGGAAACTCACATTTGCGGATCTTCTCAAGGCTACAAACGGGTTCCATGAGGACAGTATGATTGGTTCCGGTGGGTTCGGAGATGTTTACAAAGCGGTTTTGAAAGATGGAACCGCGGTGGCTATCAAGAAACTGATCCAGATTAGTGGTCAAGGGGATAGAGAGTTCATGGCGGAGATGGAAACAATCGGGAAGATCAAACACCGGAACCTTGTTCCGCTTCTTGGTTACTGTAAAGTCGGGGAAGAGCGGCTTCTTGTGTACGAGTTCATGAAATATGGGAGCTTAGAAGATGTATTACACGACCCGAAGAAAGCTGGTCCGAAACTAAACTGGTTCGCGCGTCAGAAAATAGCTATTGGAGCAGCTAGAGGACTCGCCTTTCTTCACCATAACTGCAATCCTCATATTATCCACAGAGACATGAAATCTAGTAATGTGTTGTTGGATGAAAACTTGGAGGCAAGGGTTTCAGATTTTGGCATGGCGCGGCTGATGAGCGCGATGGACACGCATTTAAGTGTCAGTACATTAGCCGGTACACCAGGCTATGTTCCTCCCGAGTATTACCAAAGTTTCAGGTGTTCAGCAAAAGGAGATGTTTATAGTTACGGTGTGGTCTTGCTCGAGCTGCTTACGGGTAAACGGCCAACCGATTCGCCGGATTTTGGAGATAATAACCTTGTTGGGTGGGTGAGACAGCATGCTAAACTGCGGATAAGCGATGTGTTTGATCCCGAGCTTATGAAGGAAGATCCAGCTAGAGAGATTGAACTATTACAACACTTGAAAATTGCGGTTGCGTGTTTGGATGATCGGGCTTGGAGGAGACCGACCATGTTAAAAGTCATGGCAATGTTTAAAGAGATACAAACGGGTTCGGGGCTAGATTCTCAGTCGACCATTGGATCAATAGAGATGGTCGATATGAGTATTGAAGAAGTTCCTGAAGGAAAATTATGAAAGTTTAGAAACAGAGCCAAAGCGTATTCTTGGAACATCAATCATCCAAGGGCCAGTCCAATTTTCCTTTGGTCTATTTTTTGTATTTTTCTACTGTATTCTAAATGTATGTATTTATGTTGTTTTTATACAGGAGAGAAAAGAGTAATAACTTTGTTAAGAATATGTAAATATGCAATTTTATTTTTCCTTTTGGAATTTGTAACTTTTTGCGCTATGAAAATTTCTATCTTCTCCGGACAATTTTTTGTTCTTTGAAGTCTTGTAGTAAAACTCTTGTAGTAAACAAAATAAAACATGAAAAAAGACCATATACGTTTGCTAATTATTGGTAAAGTCATCATTATCCTAGTCTAACTAGGATTTATCCAAATACTAATCAATATTTTCACAAAAATGTTCACGTAAGGCTCGTACGAATTGAATAATTGATGCGCCTTAGATTTGTGTTTTTTTTCATGGGCACAATATTTTTACATCAAACTTGTATACAAAAAGTTCTCTCTTTATGCTAATAAAATAAGAGAGTGATATATAACATGGAGAAATGGACCTTGGTCTGAAAGTAAAACAAAGTATGGGTTTCATGTCTCTGTGACACTGCACCAACATAAGCACAACAAAACTTACACAATGAACATGCGCCTCACGTGATCTTCTCTCTCTCTGTATTTCTTACTTCGGGGTTCGTGTTCATTTGCCTTGAATCACTACTTTCTTTTTCTTTTCTCAGTACTCTACCCAAACTAAAAACAAATCACGAGTTTAGGCTTTTCATGAAACTTAAAGTAAGGTTTATCCGGGTAATATGTAGCTTTTGACGCATCATAAGAATATGCAGTGTTATATAATACATAAAATTCACATCATATTGAATATAATTTGCGTAATATTTTATCATCATACAGATCGAAACCTATATGTTTTATAATTTGTGTCTTTCTCGGAAGCTATACATGACAAGTGGATCAATCAATATACACTGCAAACCGTCTTACAATATAGTAATTTAATATAAGATACGAATAAATAACACATGCTAAGTTCTAATATATACGAGTTAACCAATAATTCCAAGAAGAATATATTTGAAAAATCGACGGATACGTGCACAGACACATGACATCATATATATCAGATATTCATATTACATATGCACATAGTTGTGTATAGACAACACATTGACATACGAGCGTGTAGATATTGAGTAAACGATGCTCTCTTGAACTAATGAAACTGTGGAGTGGGAGAGCTGAGTAGCTATCAAGCGTGAAGACGCGCGACGGTGGTGGGTGCGGAGCACGTGGGCCACCGTGCATGCAAGCTGTTCTTGTCGGAAATTTCCCCGAACAACGTCTTCCTCCGCCATGGACCACCGTCCCTTTCCTGTCTCCACCAAATTGACTTCTTCTCCCACTTGTGTTTCTTTCTCATCCATACAATTTTCTTAATTAATTATCTTTCTAAATCCTTGTAATAAATATTCTTAATACATATTTAAATGACTAAGATTTTTAATACTATTGTGACAACTTTTTAATAATACTATTCTTTACTCAAATTTCATTGTTCTTTGTCTGATATCAGGAAATCAGGACACATATAATTAGTATCAGGAATATATAAGCTTAATGAAAAATAGCCACTACCCAACAAAACTATGTCTTATGCTAATACCAAAAATTCTGAGTTGTAACCTTTCTAATGATAACATTTACAATTACAGGAAACAGTCAGATAGATCTGTTCAAGGTTAAACTGAAGAACAATAAAAACATTATTGTTAGAGCATCTCCAACTTATTGATATTTTTATTTTTATAATATTATTTAGAGATAAAATTATCCTAATCCACTTTTATTTCTTTCTCTATAACAATATATAGCAAAATACATTGGAGGGTCTTAGGTATAGTTTTTTTTTGAACATATATCATAAAGTATATATAGTTACATAATATCTGAACGTAATTAACGATTTCATATACAACATTCAGTTGATGACGAAAATGCATAATACATAACCGTTTATCTATTCAATATATAAAATTTCGAATGGATAAATCAAATGTTCACGTTCAATGCATAATACAAAACCGTTCTATCTATTCACGATATTAAAATTTCTCATGGATAAATCAAATGTATATGCATTTTAATCAGTACTTGTAGATATGAACATATTCTACATATGGGTCAAGTGCAAGACGGTCATGCATTTTTATTTATTTATTTAATAATCATGCATTTTTAAATTTTCAGTGTCGTATATAAATGTAGGATTGCGATGTGTACTGTGTACGTACTAGCGATGAGAAACTGAATTTGAATTAGTTTAATACTAAGTACCTTTGTTCATTCTCGAGGCTTCTATCTCACGTACAAATCTCCCGCACGTGCGAGCCTCGTTCTCAAATAAATTGTTTACTACTAGTTGTGAGGATTTTGACGATGTACGAACTAAGAGCATCTCCAACCCCACTCCAAAACTCACTCCAAACTCCATTTTGCAGTAAAATCTTCTCCAACCCTATTCCAAAACTCACTCCAAAATGGAGTAACAAACATGATTACTCCAAATATGGAGTAAACCAACTCATTACTCCAAAATGGAGTTGAACTTTTTTATTTATCAAATAGTCCTCCACATTTATATATGTTTTATTTTTAATAAAATATTATTATAAATAAGTACTATATATATTATAAAATTTACTGTTATATTTCTTAATTATATAAATAGCCTCATTTTTAATAAAATATTATTATAGATAAGTATATTAATATTATTTTACTATATATTAGAAAATTTACTGTTAATATTTCTTAATTATATAAGTAGCCTCGTATTTAATAAAAATATTATTATAAATAAGTATATTAATATTATTTTACTATATATATTTTAAAATTTACTGTTAATATTTTTAATTATATAAATAACCATCTGATGAAATCTTTTATACAACATAATATATATAATATAAAACATAAAAGATCATACATATAGAAAATGAAAGATAAGCACCATACAAAAGAAATAACATAAAATAAAACTTACAACAAATATAATTGCTTAATAATCCGATAAATCATTTTCGGATCCATTAGAATTATTAAAATAATCCGATAGAATATTATTAAATTCTTACATAACATGATAATAGAAGATGATTGTGATCTCGAGGTGCCAATTGAAGTTGAAAGAGAAGTCATGTCAAGGAAAATTGAAATTGAAGAAAATAATAATGTGAGGTTCCAAAAGTTTCTTTCCCATTTCAGAGAAATCAAAGATAAAGAAGCTCATTTTCACTTCGAAATGCATTAGTTGATCATTTGTGGGAAAATTATTATAATTCTAATGAATAATTTAGAATTGATGTATTATTTTGTTTAAGCTATATAATGTAATTTTTAATGTATTAAATGTATTCTTTTAAAACCTTGTTGAGTAGTTTTATTTATATAATAAAAATTTAATTGTGGTTAATATTGTATTTAATAGAAATGCTATAAATTTAAAATGGACTGTTTTGCAAATAATATAAATGAAAGGTGATATTCCTAATTTTGAAATAAATATAATATTAAAAATATTCTTTTGGAGTAGAAAATAGAGTAATACATTGGAGTAAAACTCAACTGCATTTTGGAGTTACTCCATTTTAGAGTAGAAAATGGAGTAATACATTGGAGATGCTCTAACTACACAAGAGTACAAAAGATTAAATTTTGTTTTTGTTCAAACCCGTTCCCACGCGTGTGACCTCTCTGCCATATATATATATATATAGATATATATACAGGCATACAGCTAAGAGCATCTCCATCAGCAAACACTCTCTGGCGCGATCCCCGAGGTAAGCTTTTTAAATTTTTTTTTTTTTTTTTTTTTTCGTTTGACTTTTTCAAAAAAAAAAAAAAAAAAAATTTCGACCAATCATGGTCCGCCACGTGGCGAACTCGTGGCGAACCAGTATCACCACCGGGAGCTTTCATGATACAGGTTCAAGAAAAAAACAATTTTATATTATTTTGCTTTTTGGGGAACTGTGTGAACCCCCCATTTGATACTCTAATGGGGGTGCTCTAAGTCTTCTTAAAACGATTTGAACGTCTCATTGCGATAGATGAAAGTTATAATGTGTTTACGTAGATAAAAGTTGACTTCTAAAGTCAAGTTACCTATTTTTATATCATTCGGTCTACCCTTTTGTTTTGTAATCAAAACATTGATCATTAGGTGCATTCGTTTTACTATCATAAATGGCGATTATAAGTTTTAATTAATAGCATGAGTTTAGTTTTTGGTTTGCAGTACTCATCTGTTAAGAATAAGATACATTTTCTATTTTAAATCTTAATGCATTTATTATGTATTCTCTTTATTTTTGGCGTTAAGAAATCAGAACTCTCTTACGTTACCGCATTAAAAAAAAGTTGTAAATTTTCTCTTTAAAACAAAATAAAGATTAATCAAGCAAATCGGTTGATTCATTGGAATCTTCCTTCTTTAGACGACGAAGAGACAAAGAAACAAAAAGCGACGACTCACATTTCGACAATTTTTATGAATCTTCAAATATAATATTCATCTCTTCCTCACAGCCTTCCACCAGCTTTATCGTTTTTAATTCCCAGTCTCCTTTGAACAATATTTTTGCTTTGTTTCACATGACATCCCCGTTTTGATAATAGGAAAAATTTAAAAGAAGTAAATTAATTATATATGTATATATATCACTAAAATACTTACATAAGCGTATGAAATTTAAAATTAAAACATGTTTTTACTAGAATATAAAAAAGATGTGCTGACATATAAAAAAATCATTTGTAATATCGGAGTGAACGAGAATAAAGCATGAAAAAGGTTATGTTATAATTACAAAATTAGTAAATAAATTTTTTAATTTCTAAAAAATTAACAAATTGTATGTTTCATGGAATGAGATCTATTGACCGAGCTAGCAAATGTGAATGGTCAATTAACCGTGGACAAGACATTACAAATATTTACTCAAAATCATTCAATATTTGATGTTGGAGAGTCAGTATAACGTTTACGTTTGCTTCTAACTGTTTGAATTGCTTAAAGAGTGTGTCATTAAGTTAGTAATAAATAATTTGTCGAAAACTGAGGTAAGGGCGAACGTGCGGTCCACGAGGGAATCACGTGGTAGTCTCCCTCGGACTCGGCGGAGCAAACGGGTCACAGCTTTTCACGTCCTCGTAATTTGTTATTTTATCTTCTTATTCCTCTTTGATAAGTTGATCAACGTGTTATAGATTTTTAAAATTGGTTTAACGTTGAGTATCGAGACGCTCACGTGGTTAAACGCTTTTCCATTTGTCTACTTTACTGGTTTGTCACGTGGTCATTAGGCTCGTGGACTTATAAATGTCTGTTGGACCATCGAGATAGTTTGTCTTTGATGCGCAGATTTCAAGTTCTTTGAGAAGCCCATGAATTACTATCTAAGACCATTTAGGTTATCACTTAAAAGCATTTTATTGACTACTTTATGAATTAAGAGATACAAGAAGCCCATCAATGGACAAACGTAGGCTCAGCAATCTGTTTCGTTGGGGCTCATATACCCATCAATCACTAACTAAGGCCCAGTAAGGCTACCTTGTATATATGTATTTTTAGTTTACATATATAATCCTCAGACTGAAAAAGGAACATTAATCATCTTACAAAAGAAAAACCTAAACCATCACACAAACACATTACACGTATAAAAACATCATCATATTCATACCTATTTCTTGACGAGACATATATGTAGTTATTGATTCTTTTCTTATGAAGGTATTAATTAATAAAGCGATGATTAATTCGAGGCAAGATGGATTAAATTTTAGATTAAAAATAGTACAAACATCACCAGAAGAAGTTGGAGAGAGGAGAGTGGTGAGAGCTGGAGAGAGAGTCGTCGTCGAGATGATTAGAAGGAGAGTGAAGATGTCTTCCTTCGTAAGTAGTGATTACCATTCTTGGATCATCTGCTAATCTTTCCACTCTCTTCTTCACTCTACACTTGTCTTGTGTGCATCTGTAATAGCTCCTGACATTTTAAAATTAAAATACTAGTTATTTAGTTAACCTAATTATATCAAAATTAACTAAAAAGCATCACAACATTATATATCTCAGTAAATATCATCAAGTAATGCGCAAAAGAGCAGACAGTTTTCTTTCTATTTCTCCTGGTCTTCAGCTAAATTCCGAGAGTCTATAACATAATTCCATTTTTTTAATTTAGTCAAGGTTCATGTATCAACCATATACATATATAATAATGCTATATATATGTATTTACACATCTTAAATGAACATATTTTAATGGAATTATATCTTATATATATGGGAAAACCGAATATATTGTGCTATGTCAAACATATATGTATTAATAAGATGACAAATGAAACTTTATTACTGAGCTCATGATAAAGCTTTACAAAAACAACTAAAGTATAATTTTGAAGAACTATGCCAATTACACAAACAAATCATTGTTGGTAAATGGCAAATGTCAACTTGAGAAAGAGAGAATCTTAAGGAAACCCCATATGTCTCACATAATACTCAAATGCTTCCACATGAAATCATTTACTTTTTCCTTTTTCTCTTTGTAAACGGTTATCTTCTTTTCTTACTTTATCGTATACTAGTAATTAATAGTTTTCCACACGGCCAAGAGTCATTGTTATAACAGAACTGATACCTAACATAGAAACACCAACAAGATTCTACTATTAATTTTCAATTCATTACCAATCCCAAAACAATTTTTAGTCTTTATGTGGCTCGTAATTAAACTCTTAAGAGGCTATACATATTCTCATCATATTAACTAATGATTTCAACTTAAAAAACTCTACTGATTCAAGTCTGTAAAGTTCCTTTGATAAGTCATCATTAACTCCAATCAATAATGAAAGGCAAAGATATATGATGTATAAATCATTTAAAACAAATCACTATAAGAAATCTAGTTATTTAAATAAATTAATTTAAGAAGAAAAAAATACCTGGGATGTTGAGTGTTCTTGACAACTTTCTGGCCATATTTTCTCCATCTATATCCATCATCTAAGACATCAACATCGCTTAGTGTCTTGAAGCAAAACCGAGGCTCCCTCACTTTTCTTCTTGTCTTAAGCTTCTTCATCTTCAGAGTGGGCGCTATTCCTAATGGTGACGTGTTATGTTTATGAAGAGGAAGAGTATCATGATGTTGATGATGATCATCATCAACATCATCATCAATATCATCAACATCAATCTCGCTTCCAAGGTTATTTTTCTTGCTGTATCTGTATCCTGCTTGACTACTCCATGCCCTAATTAAATTACATTAACACAACGCATCTGATATAAGTAAATGTCTCATGTGTGCATGTCAAACCAATTAAAAATTCTTTAAAGATTACAAAAGTAAATTGCATGTTATAGGATTTAAAGTTAATTATTTTAAAATAAAATGTGGTCTTTATTCGAATGCGAAAGTTTATACACTTTTTTTATACAACGACCGGCTGTTTATACACTTTAAATGACAGAATGAATATGTAGGCATGCGCATATAAATGATATGTATGGCTATGCTATTAATCTTTAGAAAATACACTAATTGTTAAGCTCTTGATCATAACTTGTAGCAAAATCCCTATAACTTTTAAAGAATCTGAAAAAACTTATGTAAATTCCTGATAAAGGAAACCGTGTAGAGATGTGCCCCTTATATTTGTATTTGTTCGTTTTATATAATTAGAGTTGAAAAAATCTTTGCAGACTTTAGCTTAATTTTATTATTTCGGTAAAGTAAACTTACCATGGATTCAGAGACGGTCTTTGGGATGATATACCACCGGTAAGACGATGCTGATCAAGATTAACAATATCATCATGATCATCCCTTTGTTTTGATGAGGATAAAGATGAGATCGGGATTAGGGTTTCTGGGAGATTTGCCATGGGGTTGATGGGATCTCGAGGATGAGTTACAAAGGAAGGGGAGTTATTGTGAAAGAAGGAGTTGAATGAGTGATGACCTAGAAATGGAGACACAAGAGAAGAAGGAGAAGATGACGAAGATACTGTGTAATTAGGTAAAGAGAAAAAGAAACCTAGATGATTAGTATTATTAGGGTTTATGATGTTTTGTGGCTCATCCAACAAGCTTACTCCTTGGTTTATCATACCCATCTCTCTTTTTTTTGTTTTGCGCAAAAGCTTGAAGGAGATGAGATTGTGTGTGTAAGAGAGAGAGAAAGTGGAGATGTAATTTTCTTTTGGGTAGATATTTGGTTCGATTTGAGCTAAGACAAGCCAATCTATCCGTGTGTGTGTTTCGATTGATATATAAATGTTGGAAAAAGAAAGTTGCAGGTGGGTCCAATTAGATGGCTTTGTTTGAAGCATTACATATGCATGTGACTAAACTACTAGCTAATTTTATAATTCCTTGGGTCGGAATAAAAATTTAAAATTCCACAACACTAATTTAGTGATTTAGATTGATATATTAATAAGTTTATATTTGTGTTGTTGTTAAATAATTTTGAGGTTGACCATGTCTAATCTATGAAACAATTAAAACTAGTTTTGATGGCATGCTTGTAATACGATAAGTACGTAAAAGTTATAGTAAAACTAAACATAAACCTTTTGTTCAACATAAACCTTTTGTTGAACCTAATATTTAATGTTATTATATAAAATGTAATTAATAATTTATAAAAGTATTAGAACTTTAATAAAGTAATTATGGAAACATTGTACAACTATATATGTTTCCAAACAACACAATAACTAATCAAATAATTTGAAATATTAAATTTCATTTTTGTTGATGAAAAAATCCATATTTTAATGCCTTTTTCAATTATTTGATTTAATTGACTAAAACATTCAAATAATTTTTGAAAAACAAAAAATTAAGTATAACTACTTTTGCACATTTAGATCAACAAAATTTATGGATTATTGTTTTATATTAATATTCATTTAAACTCAAAACCCCTTTTAGTTTTTTTTTAATTTACCACTTCTCAAAAACCTTTCATATTAAATAACATATTTATACAAATAAAATTTTACATTTAATAAATTGATATAATTAAAAGCTTATAAAATTTATCACAGGATTAATTAAATATATTAAATAGACTTTATTAAAAATTAATAACGAAAAGGTTGGATAATTGAAAAAACAAAAATTAAGTGATATATTTATAAATTTATTATTTAATAATATTAAATTTTGATTGTAGATTAAATTTTGTTTACTAATTTTTTTGCGTTTTAATTAAAAGTACGGAATTAAATATAGTTACTAATTAGATGACAAACAGTGCATGAATGATATTTTTTTCAAAACTTTAGAAATAAGAAGAAAAAAGAGAAAGCGCGTCAGGGCACTCGAGAGAAAGATGATGAGAGGTAGTGGTGGTTAACGTCGTGTCGCTTGAACAGCAGTCAGTGTCTTGTTAAGGCGTCCTGTTACTTCCCTGGAACGGCGTTCATCCGGTGTGTTGCTTATGAAGATTAGTTTTATGGTTTACAAAATATAAATAAAATGCAGTTCTAGTTATTTTATGTTATGAACTAATATTACTGCATTTTAATCTAAAAAATGCACTACAATCTACTGGAGAAAAGACACGTGTTGAGAATAGCGAACAGAAGATTACAATATAGAGGAATAACTGCACCATTTTGTAATCATTGTTTCCGGAAATCAAATCCCATCTCTAGCGTTGGCGTTTTCTACAATATTTTCTTCACCTTTTCATATATATATAAATTCTGAAATCATTTCCATTGAAAAAATGGTCGGAGATGTGATGGGAATATACACACATCTGTCACTTTCTTGTAGCTAGAATTTCATATTTTCCTACGAAATGATGTACTACTCAAATATTTATAGGATTGCTATTGTTTTGGGAATACAAAAAGGAAAAGGAATATATTGATTAGGAGGAGCAATGATGAAAAATCTTAGGTGCAAATCTATTCCTCTGTACGCTGTGTGAGGATGTCATGATTATGATTTTATGAATTAGGCTCTTATTTGACCTTTTCCCGTCTAAAAAATTGCACTTAATGAGATAAATAAATTCATAGAAACTATTAATCATACGAGAGAGAAAAGTTTCTTACCTTTTTCTCGTTTTACCTTTTGCAAGATTGCATTGTGTAATAGTTTCATCGAGTTTAGAAACCCCACCGTTAAACAAATTCCAAGCAAGATGAAACACTTTTTGTGGCAAGCTATTTCGGGCTGTGTGGCGACAGCAGAGAGGCTAACTTATAGACACCTGGGCACCGATAGGAGTTATCCTAGATGTGCTGGCCCAGTGGAGTCGATTAACCATCTCATTTTTGAGTGCCCCCCTGCCATGCAGGTTTGGGCTTTATCGGACTATCCGTCCCTTCCGGGTGACTTCCCGAGTATATCTATTTACCAAAACATGAACTTTCTGTTTTGGAAGCGAAAAGAAGTGGCTCCTCGGAGACCACAATTCGACATTTTCCCATGGATCTGTTGGTATATTTGGAAGGCAAGAAACGACAAACTCTTTAATGGGAAAGACGTATCTCCAATGGACACTCTTCAACATGCGTCTCTTGAGGCAGAATGTTGGAGAAAGGCAAACGAGAAGGAGGAAGTAAATGAGGATTATGAGGTACCTCCTAGTTTAGAGCCCCCTAGGATCCTCCAAACCCCTACATGCCAAATTGATGCATCATGGATCAATAATGGTAGTGTCAGTGGCTTAGGGTGGAGTCTCAAGGATCAAATGGGTTCTGAATGGTTTGGATTACGGGCGTGTAAAAGGAGCTTATCAGCTCTGCATGCCGAAATGGAAGGCCTACTGTGGGCAGTCTCATGTATGAGAGATTTGAAGATGATTTCGATACGGATTGAGACGGACTGCTCGGATCTAGTGGACATATTTACTAGACCGGAGGACTGGCCGGCTTTCGCGACAGAGATCGAGGTGTTTCAGCGACTTAAGGAGGACTTCGAGGATGTGAGTCTGTCTCATATTCCGCGGAGTAGAAATAGACGAGCGGATGCACTAGCTAAAGAAGCAAGGAGTAGAGGCTATTCATTTTCCCATATAGATCAGATCCGGCCAGATGAAGTTTCTTCTCGGAAAATCGACTCAACTGGTCACCACTTGATCTAGAATAAATGGGCGGCTGACAAAAAAAAAAAAAAAATTTGCTCACCTTTTGGACAAAGGCGTGCAGTTCTTCTCCATGCACATGGGAAACAAACTCACTACACGCCTCGGCTTTCGCAAACGTCATTTTTTTTACGTCTAACAAGGAGCCAAACCCAAACAAATACGTAAAACTAATAATGAGTTAATCTTGTCACGACTCACGTACCAGCAAAAACAAAGAATGGTCTCAACCGACTTTGTGTTAATGTATCAATAAATCTGTAATTAGCAACTATAGATATTTAGTTTTGGATCACTCTTTACATTTGTTCTGTTTTAACAAAACTGGTCACTAGTTCACATTATAAGGGTATCTCCAACCACATTCTATTTCTCATTTTAAAATAGAGTTTAGAATAAAAATGTTTCAATGGTACTCTATTTTTCAAACTATTTAAAAATAAATTTACTCTATATATAAAGTAACTTGTTTCTTTTTTGTTAATCACTCTATTTTTACTCTAATTTTTTTATATTCTAAAATAGATATATTTTTACTCTAAAACTTTTTTATTCTAAAATAGAGTATCATCGGAGCAATCGGCCAATTCTGTTATAGAATTATTCTATTTTAGAAAAAAATAGATTGAACCATTTAAAATGGTCTAAGTTGTTTAGGTGAATGTCATATCTTTATTGCTTTGCAGATAATTAGTTTTAATAAATCCTTACATATATAAACACAAGAGAATGATACATTATTACAAGAGAATTTCTTGTAAAGCTCTAAAAGAACAAAGGAACAATGGTCCTTTCTTACTTCACCATTGTCCCTAAGCCCTAAAGAACAATATAACTTTTGCAAGAATCAGCATCTGTGTCGGCCAAATTTCCAAGATCACATGTGCACAAGAGTACTATAATATGTATCGATCATGGCCCTAAGACTATCACCTTGTATTTTTGGTACTCTGCTAAATGGTAATGATGCAAACTGCATCAGCACGCAAAGGGATGACTGACTGCAACTTTCATTACTGTTCTTCTTGTCACAATCCAAATTTCTTTACGGCTGATATACCATTTCTATCCACCTAGTCCCATTCCATTCACTCTCCTTGCAGAGACCAAGTTACAAAGGTACTGAGCATTTGCTGGTCCGGTGCTGTGAACCATCCTAAAAAAGGCACTTGTATCTCTTGATAGCAGTTCTTGTGGACTATCATACTCCAAAACCTGAATGTTTTGACATCGTTTCATGTAAGTATCAGAAAGAATGTCGCTACTCTGTACAATAATCCTGGCATTACCTGACCAGAACTAAGCACAAGGATCTTGTCACAGTCGATGATGGTATTCAATCTGTGAGCGATAACAAGCATTGTGCAAGACTTGAATTCCTCACGGATGGTCTTCTGTATTAAAGAATCTGTTCTGACATCAACAGATGCAGTTGCTTCATCTAGAACAAGGATCTTAGATCTTCTTAACAACGCACGCGCTAGACTCAGAAGTTGCCTTTGCCCCACGCTGAAATTCTCACCTCCCTCAGAGACCTTCGAAGACACAAAGTGAGTAAAAGTTTGATTAATAACCTCAATCATAATAAAAACAAATAATATGTATGTAATGAAACTACACCTCTGCATCTAGGCCAAATGGATTCCTGGTGATGACATCTTTTATATGCGCTCTTTGTAGAGCCTCCCACAGGTCAGCATCATTGTGGTCACTAAATGGGTCAATGTTGAATCTCACCGTCCCTAAATAGAAGCAATAATTCTCATAAAGAGACAACAAAATGCCACATGAACATACTTACAATGTTGTCCTAAACTACACACGCACCTGAGAAAAGAACTGGTGACTGTGGTATGATACTTAGAACCCTGCGCAAATCCATCAGTCCGAACTTAGCAACATCATAATCATCAATCATGATCCTTCCCTTTTCCACTTCCACAATCCGAAACAGTGCATTCAACATAGAAGACTTCCCTGCACCAGTTCTTCCCACCACTCCTACTTTCTCATTGGGAGAAACAGAAAAGGACAGTCCATGCAGTACTGGAGGAAGCCCTGTTCTATAACGCAGGTAAACATCTTCAAACTTAATTGATCCTCTTGAAGGCCAGCCAGATACTGGACGGTTGTTCTCGATTATATCTGCAGCCTCAGAAGGCAGATCAATGTAGTTACCGACACGCTCAACAGAATTCAAGCTGTTCTCTGCTCTGCTAGCTTGCCTTAGAACACCACTTAACAGAGAAGTGATATTCAGAGTGTAGCTAAGAAGGAGACCCATAGTAGATGCAAAACCAGCTTGGTTCTCTGCATTCCCATTTCTCAGAACCGCGAAAGTTGCAGTTAACCAAATCATGACACCACCAAGAGTTTCCAGTCTTATAGTGAGCCAACGATTTGAGCTAGTATTTGCAAGAGTGAACCTTATGTTGTTGTCCATAGATTTTCCATTAATCT